GTTTTCTTAATTCATATCTACCAAGCAAAATCAATTCATTTCCTTGTTTTTTATTCTTTATTTTCATAAAGAAATTATGATTTAACTTTGTGTGTGTTTGTGTTATGGGAAAATTGAAGGACTGTTCAGTCAAAGTTAACATCTAAATTCAATAATTTTTCACTGTAATTGATATCTGGTAGGTTGATCTGAGCAATTTGTAATTTCTGATTCTGAGCAATTTGTGATGTTGTTTATTTTTGGTTTTGTTTTTTTTTTAATATATTTTTTTATATTTTATATTTTTTATTATATATATATATATATATATAATTAGGTTTATACAAAACTCAATGTTTCAAAAAGTCCTTAGATTCCATAAGCAATTCGTTTTTATGAGAATTTTATACAATGAAGAGTTTCTCTAGCCATGTCAAAAAATGGTTATTAACTTTTTAGATGAATACTTTCATCAACCCGAAAAAGAGGTGACTCACGCCCGCCTCCCTCGCCTCACCACCGCCTCTCCTTGCCTCGCTGTAGAAACCACGTCGTCGCCCACCCGCGAAGTCCTCTCCGTTTGTGGCCTCTGTTTGTCTCTCTGAGAGGGGTCCGGTTCAAAAATAAAAAGGAGGCTAAAAAGCAAAAGAAGAGAGAAGGAGGGGAAAAAAAAATGAAGTCCAAAACGACATTGTTTTGAACCGTCTGTGGGAAAACGCGGCAGAGGATTTGGGCTCTTAATTGATCAACCTCGCCCTCCATTTTCTCTCTCTACTGTTATAAAAGTAATTTTAATTTAATTACAATAAGTATATATACATATACATATATATATACCTATCGTAGGTTGGAAGTTGGCAATGGCAGCCATGGGAGAACATAATCTCTAAATCAATAACGAGGTCATTGGAAGAAAAAATTACAAGGAAACCAAACCCTCCTTAATAAAATTGGGCTTCTACACCCACCGCCATTCACTTCCATCAAAACCTAATCAAGACCCACTTTCTCAGGTTCTTGATATTGGAATTGGAATTTGATTTTGGAATTGGAATTGGAATTGGAATTGGAATTGGAATTGGGTTTTAATTTCTCAACTTTTTAAATTTTCGCTCTCACCGGTCAACTTTTAGAAAAATTGAGTTCTTCAATGCATTTAATTTATAATTTACGTCACTACCTTGTTTAGTTTCTGAAATAATGTAGGACGAGAAAACAAATTCCAAATCCTCCCTCACTCTTCTTCTTCGTCGTTTTCTTGTTTGGTGTGACTTCGTCTCCATCATTCTCGGTTGGGGTGTGTATATATATATACACTAGCAGTTAGCACACGCGATGCGTGTGCAATTCAAATAAATAAAAATAAAATAAAACATTTATCATATATTGTGTGCTAGTTAAGTGGTAAGAGTTTTATTCATTTGATATATAAGCCTAAAGTTCAAATCCCTTCCCCTCATCTATCTAATTTTTTTTTTTAATTTCAAATAAAAAAGTAAACACATGGCAGCATAAGAAACGAAGACTTCTTTTTAATTTCAAATAAAAAAGTAGACACATGGCAGTATAAGAAACAAAGACTTCAAGACACCATAAGGGGTGTTCACTTTATAATAGTATAGATAGATAAATAGAAGATTTGCATGTTTAATTTAATTCAAAGAGAGAAAAGGAAGAAGATGAGGGCATAATGGTCAATTTAATTTGTATTTTAGCCTCCGTTTGGCAAGTTAGTTTTGAGGTTTTTTGGGTTAAAATAGTCACAAAAAATAAAACAGAATTTTTAGCCCAATATGACAAAACATCACATCCAACCCATAATCATTACATTCTTTCTCTAACAATAAAATCAAAAAAATCAAAAGTCATTTCCAAACCACGCTTTTTAGCCTTAGGTTAAAATAGTTAAAAAAAATTAAAAAGTCAACTCACTTCTCAAACAAAACCTTAGTCTACAAATCACGTGTGAGGGTTATATGGTCATTTTCAAATGTTAGGATAACTGCACATGATCCTAGTTGTCCACGTATTAATCATGTAAAATTGTAAATAATACCAAATGAAAAAGACAAATAATGTAAATAATTGAAAGAATATTTCTTGTCCCGGTGGGCTAACAGTTAGGCTTAGTTTGGTTATTGCATCTCTTTGGATTTTTTTTAGCCTTTTGCAGTTTTAATTAACATTTTAATAATGAGCTTAGAACATAGAATGATACAAAAAGTGGGATAAATGATCCCAGGCGGTTGTTTTTTGCAATCAGTGTTCAGTTTTCATTTTAATAATGAGCTTAGAACATAGAATGATACAAAAAGTGGGATAAATGATCCCAGGCGGTTGTTTTTTGCAATCAGTGTTCAGTTTTCGGGGCCATTATTTTACAAGTTATTTTGGTTGCCAATTTAGTGCACACTGTTTTTGGGGTATATTGCCTGCCAATCTTTGGTTGCCAAATGTGAGTGGATGAATGGATAAACGATATCCAATTAACTTGATTTTTTACAAGTATGTTCTACTTGATGTATTCTAAAATGTGAACGGTTCGGATTATCAAAATGGACCTCGAAAAGGTCCCAAATGGCTGCACAGTGGCTGCTGTGCACCCCACACAGCAGCCACCCCAATTCCATTGTAAAAAGATGGGGGTATTATGCCGAGAGGCATTCAAATGCTTAATTTGAATTATTCTTTTAGTACCCTCCCTTCTTATAAATTCAGTTTCACCCCCCAGTTTCCCCCCCCCCCCCTCTCTCTCTCTCTCTCTCTCTCGTATCTATGCATTTCCGAATGCCCACGCAAGAGTAAAATATAGGATACGTTAATTGGTAAATTCGAACTATAATGTGGTTGTGTGTTGGTCTAATAAGGAGATATAACAGGGCCATCTTATGGGAAAAAAAGGAGGAACAAAGTGGATGTATGTGAAAAAGAGAATATTAACTATACTGAAGTGAGGCCACTTTAATTATCTCTCCAAAAGAGAAGCTCTGCATTTCTTTATTCTTCTTGCTTGTCTCTGCAACTGCAACTATGACAAAGAGCTTTGTCACTTCACTTACATTACATGTGATCTACAAAGAGCTTTGTCACTTTGCTTTGTGGGCTACATTCTCTACTTTTTTCTGGGCTAGCCTTCCATACCATACCCATACACATACTTATGAGAGACATCCCTCCCTCTACTTCTTTGGCATTAGGAGCTTGAGACCTTTGACTTTTAATTTCAGTTGGTCAAAATGCATGTACATTGTCATTGTTGGATCAGATCAGGTTTATCCCCTAAGAAAAAGAAGGTGAACACTGATTCTGATTGGATATCAATTTCGTTTTGAGTGGATTATGAGCTTGTTTAGCAAATCAAAGCCAATTATTTAAAAAATCATGATCTAAAAAACTACCTTAGATTTTAGAAGAGTTGATAAACAGATTATATACAAGTTAACGGATAAAAAATATTTAAAAAAACTTGGTCCTATTGAAGGAAAGGAAGTCCAAGAAACGAAAGCTGCAAAGCCTGCCTGAAGTTCAGCGCATGGATAGGGCACCTATAAGGCTACATAACCCTTATGTTAGAAATTGGTAGAGTAGAACTTGTTCACATAAGAAAGCCTTTTACATTATTTACTATTTTATTTTATTTTAAAGAAGGTGCACTGAAGCACCAAGCAAGAGAAAAGTTCAAAGCTAAAAAGGGGGCTTAATTTAGAAGCCAGTAGCCACTTTAATGAAATGCCTCCACCCACTGCATATTCGAAAAAGGTATTTGCCAACATTGCGCTTGCTACACACAGAAAGAAAGAGAGTTTCGGGAGTTTTAACATTTTTCATTCACTAATATACAAGTAAAAAAAATTATACTTAAAATTAATACAGATTAATGTAGTTGGTAAATTTTGATTTTATCATTTTAAAATAAAAAACTCATCAAGATGAGTAATATTTTTAAAATATCACTCTCCACATCATTTTTGTCTAATATACTTATGTAATACTTGGATCAGACTCTCCTATTCGGACATGAAGAGAACGAAATCTTATTAGAAAAATTGCAGTTATCATTATAATCTCCATCCCGTACACAAACACGCATGAAAGACACCTGAAAAGTTAGAATCTTAAATTAAACTGCCATCATTGAATAATCAATGGAGTGTTTGGTGCACTTTTTATGTCATTAAGCATCACATTTAATGAATATAAAAATCTACTTGCGGAATGAGTGTCAGCTTTAACCAAATACCACACTTTTAAATAGAATTTGTATAGCATGTGCATCTAGTTTTATGCTCTTACATGCCGAAGGTTTGCAGTCCTACAACTTTGTCTGTCTCTCAGGGAAAGAAGAAAAAAAGAAGCCAATATTAAAAATCAGACATGAAATTTAACAATTCCACACACTCTGTGTGGCATTGCTGGTGTGGTTTTGAAGAAAGATTGTATTTGTATAGCCACACATAACAAAAAAGCATGCAAACCTACACATCACATAGCAATACCACACAAACTGCAAATGGAATTAATAATCAAGCTCCTGTTTTCGCAATTTTCAGATTAACTGTTGCGTTGAAATGGTTGCTTATGGATTTTGTTGCTGGCCATAAGTTAAAACAAACATAACTCCTTATCTGGTATTTTTGTATTTGTGACTTGTTGTCCTAATTTTTATGTATTTATAATAGAAGGGAGACCTAATCTTTTCATACTGAAAACAGCGACGGTCATGGACATACTAGTTTTGGGGTGAATTACGTAAACCTTGTATTCTTTGCGTGCTCTTTGTCTTTCTCACTTATCCTAGTTAGGTTTTATGGACTTCTAACAGTAGATGGGGGCAGAGATGGAAGTCCCTCAGTTACAGCAGACCAAGAAATCACTAAAATTAGAAGATTAAAATAGAGAAGAAAGAAACATAGGATTGAGTGTTGCATTATGCTGAAGGAGGATAAAATAATACGTCCTCCTCTCATAATGAACCATATACATAAATGCATTTGATTCTTGCACAATTGGAACCTATCAAATCAGCAGTGGTCCATGTTATTTTCCAAGATGGATGGAGGACATCCCTCTAACAAGCAGGACACTGGTGGAATTGTTAGTGTCTGCAAATCTCCATAGGCCCCGTTTGGTAGAGCTGTGGAAAAGTGATTATAGATTATAACTTAACAGATTATAACTTATAATTGTGAATATAAACTAGTAATTTGTTTGGCGCAACTGTAGAATTATAGATTTAAGCAGCAAAGTAGTGTTTGATAAGTAAGTTGTAAAATAGTTTTTTTGCTATATAATTGTCATTTTTGCACTTATAAGATATAAAATTTGTGATTTCATTTATAATACATTTTTTTCTTTTTCTTTTTCTTTTTCATTTTATTTTCTTTTCTTTTCTTTTTCACTTTATTTTCTTTTCTTTTTTAAATTTTTTTTTCTTCTCTTCTTTCTTTGTTAATTTTTTTAGATTTATTAATTCGTTAAAATTAATATTCATGTTCTAATTTATATTAATGTTGTGATTTCATTACATATTATTTTCATATATTCATTTTTATTATTTATATCTGTATTTCTTTTCTTTATTATTATTATTAATTGTGATTTTAGTATCAAAATGATCAATTGCTCATCAATTATTAAAATTAGTATCAATTATTATTATTATTATTATTATTATTATTATTATTATTATTATTATTAATTTAATTTATACAATTTTTTAATACACATTTTTCCATAAAAAATTAACCCAAATATTTATATTTTTTAAGACACCCCAAACAACCCCTTAGTTGGAATAATACTGTGGTACTATATATATTAATTAATATATTAATATTAATTATGATATTATTTTTAACCTTATTCATTAAACAAATTATAAATATTAAAAATTTCTTAAATTATATCACATCATCAATTAATATTAATTAATATATTAATACTAATTTATTAATTTATTAATACATTAATATTTATTAACATTTTAGTTTATTAATATTTATTTTTTAATACTAAAATTATTTAATTCTATCAATTATTTTTTATTAATATTTATTTTTTTCTACAATTATTTTAATTATTTAATACTAAAATTATTTTTTAATTCTAAAATTATTTTACTTTCCTTCTTCTCTTCGTCTATACGTCGCCGGTGGCAAAACGACGACGGCGAAACGACGAACCAGAGACAATGGTTAGTGTTTCAAATCGAGGAGCTAAGGTTTCGTCGCCTTTGGTTCATGTGTGAGAGAGAGAGAGAGAGAAGAGATCGCGATCGCGATCGCAATTGCAATCGCGATTGCGATGGCGCTAGGGTTTCCTCTGGTTCGTGCGAGAGAGAGAGAGAGAGAGAGAGAAAAGATCGCGACAAAGCAGATCGAGATCACGACGGCGCTAGGGTTTCCACTCGATCGCGAGAGAGAGAGAGAAGAGAGGTCGCGACGGAGCATATATGGATGTTGTGCTGTGTTGAGGGAGAAAATGAGTGTCAGAAATCGCTCCATCCGTCGCCGGAAATCTCTTCTGTCCACCGAAAATCACAGAGTCCTTTCGTGAGAGGGAGAAAATGAGTGTATTTTATTTACATACCTGGTTCACTTGTAATTACTTTAAAGTATGAAGGACGTTTAAGTCTTTCACATGGAGCTTGCTGGTTAAGCTGAAAATTAAGCACCCCTTCCCCCACTCAACCAAAAAGCTCATTTTCTACTTATAAAAAGCTATAATCTACACCCATTAAGCTACGCCAAACACTCCAAACCTAGTTATTTTAAGCTATAAGTAGATTTAAGTTGAAAATAAGCTATGCCAAACAGGCACATGAGCATTCCAACAGAATGGGTCCAATACCATTTCTCCTATAGCGGAAAGAAGCTCTATATCTGACAGTGTTATGTTGGTGCTAGGCACTGAGTCGCTGCAGGCAAAACGCATTGGTGGGGCTCGGATATCATAGGTTCCCTTTATGTTCGTATAAATTATGTCCGATACAAATACTGCTGTTGTTTGGTTGCTGCAATCTTTGGAAAGGCAATAGAACTGGTCGATCATGATTGGATTCCTAACATTTTCCATGTGAACGTTACTGAACATGATTCCTGATACGGCTCCATGACCTCCTTGCCATGTCTTGATCCTCACTCCATTGTCAGATTGCTTTATCACCGTGTCTCTAACCATGACATTGGAAACACAGGCTCGAGTGTTGTGATTGCCTAAACTCCCTATGCTGGATTAAGAAAAAATGGAACACATTCAAAAAATGGTGAAAATCCACAGAATATTCTAAGATCAGACATCTGATATGACCAGTGAGATACCTAATTCCATGACCAGATCCACATGTGAGGTTCCTTATATCTACATCATAATAACCTGATCCAATTGATACACAGTCATCACCTACAAAAAAGCAAATGTGATCCACAAGGATTATGATCTTGTGACAATAATAAATTGGAGAAAATAAGACTTGGGTTTTCATGCTAACCATTGGAGATTACTGAATTGTATATTTCAACATTGTTTGTGTTTTCTATATGTATCCCATCAGTATTAGGACTTAAGGCAGGAGCGGTTATGTGAATTGATTCAATGTGGACATTCCGGCAGTTATCAAATCTGAAGCGGAATTAGGGACTATTCTTGATTCTTAGTCCTTTGACAGTCAAGCTGGTGCACATGAAGAACCTTATGGCCTAGAAATTAAAGGCACAGACCAAAAGTTACCAGAGTTTGAATGAGAATCAGGTAGAGATATTAAGCAAAGTGACTCACTTACAATTGGACTATCACATGGTCCTGACAATGTGGTTCTGTTAGCTCCCTGTGTGCACGTATAGCGGATTAGTGAAGTGCTTTAACAACGAAATCATTCGTTAATAAATTGAACAGTAATACCTTGTGGGGATTGCAGGGAAGGTCCCACCATTTCTTTCCTCTCCCATCTATTAGACCGCCTCCTTGAAGTGATATTTCATTGATTCTGTAGAAGATAAGCCATTGGTTCTTACTGTTACTATCTGGCCACAAATCAGGTCCATCTGGTGGCATAAGAATGCCATCAACCTATAAAATAATGTAAGTACCGAAAGACATTAGTCTTTTTAATCATTGGAGTCGTGAAGAAAGTTTCAAGAGGAATAGAATGGCAACATTAATTACCTGGAACACAAAACCACTCTGACAAGGACCAGTGAAAATTGTGGATTGAATCATGAAGGAATAACTGAAGGGAACAAGGAGGACCCCTGACTCATATAAGCACGCCATGTCCCACGCTGTCTTGAATGCCTCTGTGTCATCTGTTATTCCATCCCCCACAGCACCAAATTTTCGTACATCAAAAACACCAGTACTTGAATTGTAAGAAGTCCCTCCAGTTGTTGGGTCAGAAGGTTCGGGTGGAGGAGAAGGGGTTGTGAAATTTGGGATAACATGGGAGAATGGTGTTTGTGTTTCAATCTAGCTTGCCTGCTGATACTGAAGCAACCAAAATAAATGTAAAGAACTAGAAACGACAGTGTAATGCACCATTGTCAGCTTAACTATGCTCAAGCCGCTAATCTAGAACAAGTTGATGTTGAACAAAGAGAAATCAATCAATACAACCAGAAATGTACTTTCAATTGTAGCTTGAGAATAGAAACAGTTGAAACAGCTTTGTCACTATCAACAAGTGGATGAAAAGAGTGAGAATTGAGTACATCCCATGTTTAATGGAATTGGAAGAGCACTAAAAAGCTTGCTTTCTATATGTGACCAATGTGAGCAATAGTAGTAGAGCAACTTGCGTAGGACTTAAACCCACTTGAGTCTAGCTAAATAATGTAGACAGAATAGAATCTTAAAGGCTGAAGTCATGTATATATTGTTGGGTCCACCTCACCAATAATCATAAATGAGGAATTGCTTCAACTGTCATGAATGACAGTTATTGCAGCATAAATGATATGTAGGCATTTGACAAAGGATGCGGCGTGCAACATAATAAATGAGCAGCCAATATATTGCAGATTTACCACCCACAAATGTTTACTAAACAAATCAAAAATAAATTTGGGACACAGACGAGAAGATTTTTTTGGAGGACTTTTCAAGTGCATAACACCAAACTTTGAGTATAAATTCCTCTATTGGGCTTACAAAGTAAAAGTGAGTAGAGTAACAGTAAGTGATAGTTACTCAAGTGAGGAGCTTCTTATTGTATACCTCAAGTTTGGGCAAAACTTGAGAGTGTGACTGTGTGTATACCTATTTTTGGAGAATGCCATTATTAAGAGAGCATATCCACTGCTAAGTGGAGAGAGTTTGTTTATACACACAGTTGGGTGGAGAGTGTCAATATGTACCTGTGTGTGTGATTTTCTGGCCACACTGCCAAACAGGTACCCAGCTAGAGAGCACCGGCAGAATAGATTAAGCCCGAACGACCTGCAACAAAAAGAAGAGTTTCCGGCGGTGGCTCGTCCACCCGGGGGCACTCCGACGATCAAGTCAGTACTCAATCAAAAATAATCAATAGTGCTAAACTCACTGGACAAAGCATAAAAGACATACCTTAGACCCGTGAGGGTGCCTCTTTTTTATAGCCAACATAATCCTAGTCCCAATAGAAGCCTAGCTCTAATGGACTTAGGATTACTGCTAATCTTGGACTCCCAGTAAGATTGGGATAAACTCTCTAAGAGTCTCATCTTTACCCAAACTAAAGTCTTCTCCCATTCTAGGACTCTTGTCCCTTATCCGCTTATCTCGGATTCCGGTTTTCTTGCAGATAACCTCGGCCTAGCCGAGATTACCTTGGCGTCATGACCAGGACACGTGGTACCTCGGCTGGCACTTCGGTGACACCTCGGCCGCGTGTTGTCATTCAAAAATTATGTCCCCACAACTGCTCCCTAGGTTCTATTACCTCGGCATCCTGAGGTAATGGAACCTATATCATTCCTCCATTTAATCATGACCCCGGTTTCACTTCAACTTGTAAACTTTTCTCAAGTTTCAACAAGTGTTAAATATAATCTCGATTTAATTTCAACTTGTAAACTTTTCTCAAGTTTCAACAAGTGTTAAACATCATCTCGGTTTAACTTCAACTTGTAAACTTTTCTCAACTTTCAACAAGTGTTAAACATCATCTCGGTTTAACTTCAACTTGTAAACTTTTCTCAAGTTTCAACAAGTGTTAAACATCATTCCGCTTTAACTTCAACTTGTAAACTTTTCTTAAGTTTCAACAAGTGTTAAACATTATTTCGGTTTAACTTCAACTTGTAAACTTTTCATAAGTTTCAACAAGTGTTAAACATCATTTCTTCTCTCTGCCCTTTAATGTGAACCTGAGTTTCACTCAGGGTCTCATTATGCATATATTCCGAAACAACGTTATGTATCTTCATCAGTCATAAATATAGAAGAATTCTGCTAAAATTTTATTCATGACGTCGGCAAATAACAAAGAAAATCTAATGGTAGAAAAACTTCAGATTACAAGTATTCCAGGGTCTTGGCAACTCTTTGCTCTCACTAGCTTCAAGCCGATATGCCCCGTTGCCCAATATCGAAGTGATTCCGTAAGGTCCTTCCCAGTTTGGGCCAAGCTTGCCCTTCTTGGGATCTTTCTTGTTGCCGATGACTTTTCTCAAGACTAGGTCGCCGACTTGGAACTCCCTTGGGTTGACTCTTTTATTATAAGCTCTGGCAAGCTGCTGCTGGTAGGCTGCGAGCTGAATTGTAGCTCTCTCTTTTCTTTCTTCTAGTAGGTCCAGATCTCGGGCTAAGAGTACATCATTAGTCCCGTTTTCTACTCCCTGGGTTCTGATCCCAGGGATGCCGACTTCAAGCGGAATGACAGCTTCTGTGCCATAGGTCATGGCAAAGGGGGATTCCCCCATTGATCTTCTCGGCGTAGTCCGATATGCCCAGAGCACACTTGGTAGTTCATCCACCCACTTTCCTTTTGCTGCCTACAGCCTCTTCTTTATCCCATCTAGAATAACTTTGTTGGATGCTTTTGTTTGTCCATTGGTTTGAGGAAAGCTTGGGGTTGAAAAGTAGTTCTTGATCTTGGACTTTGCACAGAAGTTCTTGATTAGCTTGCTGTCAAATTGTGTTCCATTGTCATCAGCTATTGCTCTCGGAATCCCAAATCTGGTGATGATGTTCTTCCATAAGAAGTTCTTCACGTCTACATCTCAGATTTTGGCTAAGGGCTCAGCTTCTATACACTTGGTGAAGTAATCTGTTGCTACCAACAAGTACTTTCTTTGTCCAGTTGCCCAACGAGATCCATGCCCCATTGGGCAAACAGCCAAGGACTGGATACTGGTTAAGGTCTGCTATTGGCTGGTGTATCAGTGGTGCAAACCTTTGGCATTTTTCACACTTCTTGACATAGGCTTCTACGTCATTTTGCATGTAGGGCCACCAACACCCCTGGGTAATGGCCCTATGGGCTAGTGATCTGCCCCGGTGTGGCTTCCACAGATTTCTTCATGTATTTCATATAAAAAATCTTCAACTTGTGATGGGTGTACACACCTTAAAAGAGGTCCAGTGAAAGATCTTCTGTAGAGATGTCCTTCTGCTATTAGACTGAATCTTGCCGATTTCAATCTGATCCTGTGTGCCTCCTTGTGGTCATCTGGTAGCTTTCCTTCTTTTATGAATGCAACAATTGCATCCATCCAACTTGGTCCCATGTCCACACACATTGCTCCACGCTCTGTGGTCAGTGGTTCGATGCTCGGGCCCGACAAGTATTCGACCATTATCGTCCTTGCTTTTCCAGGCTGTATTGCATTGGCCAGATTGGCTAGTGCATCGACGTGACTGTTATCATCTCGGCTGACCTGATGTAGTCGGCAATTCTGAAACAAAGCTACTAACTTGTTGAATTCCTTTGCGTAGGCTGACATCCTTTCATCTCAGGCTATAAATTTGCCCGTTGTCTGGTTGACTATGAGCTAGGAGTCATAGAAGACTATCACTTCATCTGCTTCTGCTGCTACCGCCAGCTTTAGTCCTGCAATCAATGCTTCATATTCTGCTTCATTGTTTGAGGCCTTAAACCCCAATCGAATGGACTGTTCCAATACTTCTCCATCTGGAGATACCAGTACTACTCCTACCCCTGCTCCTTGCCGGTTTGAGCTCCCATCGACAAACAGTCGAAAGGAGTCGCCGATGTAAATGTTGCAGGGTTTGAGTTTTTCCTTTTTCCTTTGTTCTGTTGTATTTGGCTGGGTTTCTCCTTACTTGCTTGGACATCGTTCGCCTCGGCTCAACGGAGCCCGATGTGCGATGGATTTTGGTGTGAACTCGGCCACGAAGTCGGCCAAAACTTGGCATTTGATTGCTGTTCTGGGTCTGTACTCCAAGTCATACTGTCCCAAGGCCACTGCCCATTTGGCTATTCTTTCTGTCAGGTCTCCTTGTTGTAGTAAAGACTTCAAGGGGTGTTCTGTTAGCACCACAATTTTATGGGCCTAGAAGTAATGGTTCAGTTTCTTTGAAGCCATTACTAAAGCCAGTGCCAATTTTTCTAAGGGTAGATACCTTGTTTTTGCATCGGTCAGGGTTTTGCTTACATAGTAAACAGCCCTTTGCTCCCTTTTTTCTTCTCGGATTACCACTGCGCTTACTGCATGTTCTGAGACTGCTAAGTACAAAAACAACTCCTCCCCAGGTTCTGGATTTGAAAGAACTGGAGCTGTGGTCAGATACTTCTTCAGGTCAGTCAGGGCGGCCTCGCATTCTTCTATCCATAAAAAATCTGTGGCTTTCTTCACTAAGTTGAAGAAAGGTTTGCACTTGTCTAAGCTTCTGCTTATGAACCTATTCAGGGCTGCAGCCCTTCCAATCAACATTTGTACCTGTTTTGCCGACGTCGGGCTCTTCAATTCCAGGATGGCCTTAATCTGATCTGGGCTGGCCTCAATGCCTTTTCTAGTCACCAGGCATCCTAAAAACTTACCAAATCCTACTCCAAATGCGCACTTCGCTGCGTTGAGTCGGAGCCGATATGTTTTAAGGATGTCAAAGACTGCTTTTAGGTCAGCCAAATGACCTTTAGGTTCCTTGGTCTTCACGACCATGTCATCGATGTAAACTTCCACCGTTCTGCCAATCAGGTGTTTGAACATCTTGGTTACCAGTCTTTGGTAAGTTGCTCCTGCATTTTTCAACCCAAAAGGCATCACTCTGTAGCAATACAGACCTTTTGGGGTGATGAATGCGGTCTTCTCCTCATCTGGGGGATACATGGCTATCTAATAGTATCCCCTGTAGGCATCCAGGAAGCTCATCATTCCATGTCCCGAAGTAGCGTCTACTAGCTGGTCAATCTTGGGTAGAGGAAAACTATCTTTGGAACAGGCCTTGTTCAGGCTGGTAAAGTTCACGCAGACCCTCCATTTACCATTCTTTTTCTTCACTACTACTGTGTTTGATAACCATGTCGGGTAATCTACCTCTCGAATGGCCCTGGTCTCGAGAAGTCTGTCTACTTCCTCCTCCACTGCTTCGACGTGTATCAACGTCGGTCTTCTTGCTCGTTGGATTACTGGTTTTGCCAACCTATCAACATTCAGTTTATGGCAAGTGACCTCGGGGTCAATGCCAGGCATCTTGTAAGGCGTCCAAGCAAACACCTCAATATTTGCTCTCAAGAAAGCTTCCATCTATTTTTCTTCTTCTTCGGCTAGGCCCGAGCCGAGAAGAAAGAAGCGTTCTTCATCCCCCACTTGGACGAGGATTTTCTTCAGTGTTTCTTCACTCTTTTTGGCCGGCTCCTTGCCGACATCATCTAGGACCTCTATGTCCTCGTCTTCAATCTCTGCCTTCTCTGGTTTTTGAATGCTGTAGGTGGATTTCATTGCTGCCATGGAGCAATTCTTTGCCTGCAACTAATCTCCTCTAACCTCCTCAATCCCATACTCTGTTGGGAACCGCAATAGTTGATGCAAAGTTGAGGGAACAACCCTCATTGCATGGAACCATGGTCTTCTCAAAATGATGTTGTAAGGGGAGGGTGTGTCAATTACGGTGAACTCCGTTGTTATCTTCCTGGTGCCTGCTAGCACCTCCAAGCTGGTTGTTCCTAGTGGCATGTCAACGTTCCATTGAACCCGACCATTGGGCTATTAGACTGCTCCATATCGTCTGAGTGAAGGCCAAGCTCCTTGTAACATCGGACGTACATGATGTCACAAAAGCTGCCTTGGTCAATCAAGATGCGCTTCACTTGGCATTCCCCAACCTAGAGGGATACTACCAAGGCATCATTATACGGATGTTGTACCATCTCAAGGTCGGCTTCAGAAAAGGACACTATTGGTCCTTGGTACTCCTCTGCCTGATGTCTCTTCTCTCCAACTTGGTAGACATGCTGCATATGTTTTACCTTCTAGGTCTCCCCCCGAATCTCGTTTTCGTTGACCTTTGAGTGAATTACATTAATTACCCGAGGTCCTCCTGCTTGTGGTTGCTGTGCTGGAGGAGGTGGGGCTGCTGTCGCCTGAGGCAATCTTGCATGTTCTTGCCTTGTTCTGGCCTCATCGACAAGGTCTCTTAGATGGCCTTGCCTCACCAGGTCTTCCAAGTGTGTTTTCAGGGCTTTACGGCCCTGAGTCATATACCTGTTTTCATTGTGGTAAGCACAATGCCTGCCAAGGTTTCTTCCCATGAATTCTCCTGGTGCCTTTGCTGGTGTTTTGAAATAGGATTGATTCCGAATTTGATCTAGGACTTTGTGAATTGGGATTCGGAACACAGTTGTCATTGCCTGTGTTGCCCTCAGTTTTATCTCTTGTTTGCTGGATCCGTTGTTACCTTGGCCTCACTTCGGCGAGTCGTTTCCTTTTTCTTGTTTTGCCTCCTTGATCCCCGATGTATCTTCTTCGGCTCTGGCGTGCTTCTCGATCCTCGCCATGAGCTCTTCCATGCTTTTTGGCAATGTCTTTGCCAAAGATTTTCGTAGTGGACAGTTGTCTTTTAGGCCGTTCTTGAAAGATACGATCGTCACCTCTTGATTATACTCTGGTATTCGGTTGAACACCTCATAGTACCTTTTTGTATAGGCCCTAAGGCCTTCTTCCTTACTGATCTTCAGAGCCATCAATGCGTCTACCCTTAATGGCTGCAGCTTGTTTGTCACGAACTTGACCACAAATATCTCGGCCAGGCCTTCCCAGGTCTTCACACTTCCCTTTGGTAGTTTGTGAAGCCATTCTGATGCAATCTCCCCGAAGGATGAGGGGAACACTTTGAAAAGCAACGGCTCGTTCCCACTATATAATGCCATCGAGTTCAAGTATAACCCAACGTGGAAGTTGGGGTCCGACTTACCATCGTATATTTGGAACCTTGGCATATTGAATCTCTTCGGAGCCTCGAATTTGTCTAGCTCCACCGAGAATGGTGTTCTTGGCTTTTCAGGGGAAGTTACCTCGGCATCGACATTCTGTTGCTTCCTTTTGAGGTAATCTCTCAAGTCTTCTTTGCTCCGTCCAGGAGCTCGGCTATCTCCTGACTTCAGTTTTTTCGGCATACTACTCTCAGCTTCATGGTGGGTCCTTTTTGATTTTTCTCCGTGAGTTGTGTCAAAGCAGAGCGCCTGCCCCTGAACATGCCGGTGTTCTTTGGGGTCTGCCTCCTTGGCGCGATGCGTCCTCCGCGATTCTTCTCTCATCGACTCTCCTCGTCTGACCTCCCTTGAAGGCCAGTGAGAGTGTTTTTCGCTTTTGGCGTGCTGGGGGATTTTTGGGATTGGTTTCTGCCCTCCCTTCTGTGTATTGGTTACTGGAATCAGCGTACCCTGTAGCGGGAACGGTGGCTGCATGACATTGTTTTGCATCATAAAGTTGATGACCGATTGTAGGTCTGCCAATTTGTTCGTTATCTCTTTTACCTCTTCGTCCCTCCGCATGCATCTATCTTTCCATACCTGGAGGTCATCCTCATTGTAGTACCCACTGCGATCTGGCTTCTTTGGTACGTCGCCATCCTGGCCGACGTCTTGCTTGCTGTGATTTGGGTCACGAGTTTCTGTGTTGTGGTTGTCTCCTTCGACGTCAAGGTCGATAGGTCTGCCACTCCCAGCAGGGGTGTCATCCTTAATCTTTTCTTTCTGTCCGTCACTGGCCATCTATTCTCCTTTCTTCCCACAGACGGCGCCAAATTGTATGGGTGATTTTCTGACCACACTACCAAACAGGTACCCAGCCGGAGAGCACCGGTAGAATAGATTAAGCCCGAACGACCTGCAACAGAAAGAAGAGTTTCCGGCGGTGGCTTGTCTACCCGGGGGCACTCCGACGATCAAGTCAGTACTCAATCAAAGATAATCAATAGTGCTAAACTGACTGGACAAAGCATAAAAGATATACCTTAGACCCGTGAGGGTGCCTCTTTTTATAGCCAACATAATCCTAGTCCCAATAGGAGCCTAGCTCTAATAGACTTAGGATTACTGCTAATCTTGGACTCCCAGTAGGATTGAGATAAACTCTCTAAGAGTCTCATCTTTACCCAAACTGAAGTCTTCTCCCATTCTAGGACTCTTGTCCCTTATCAGCTTATCTCGGATTCCGGTATTCTCGCAGATAACCTCAGGCTAGCCGAGATTACCTCGGCGTCATGACCAGGACATGTGGTACCTCGGCTGGCACTTCGGTGACACCTTGGCCGGCACTTCGGTGACACCTCGGCCACGTGTTGTCATTCAAAAATTATTACTTCAAATAATAATGAAGATGTTCACGTAAATTTTGATATCTTTTGTGGTTGTAAATTTTCTTTTCTAATCTTGCAAAATTAATTTATTTTTGTGTAGTTTAATCTACACTTAAGACGGTGGCTAGGAGCATATTTTCCCAACATATATAACAGGAAGTAGGAACTGGTAGTGGAAGTTCTTTGAAAGTGATCTGCGCCTTAAAAAATCCTTAAAAAAAATATATATATATATATATTTCAAATATTGGGTGCTGATTCTCGGAACCGACCAATTCCATATTAGAGGTACATATAAAAGCTGCTGTTAGTTGAGAATGTGGAAGTATGAGTGTCAGGTGCGAATGTGGAAGTATGAGTGTCAGCGATTGAATTAGGATTTTATTTTTAGATAGGTTAAAATAAAAATATTTTTTTTTTTTATGATATATAAATTATATATACATTAAGAAAAATTAAATATCATAGAAGCAATTTCAAATAGGGTGAATAAGTTTTTTTTCAATGTAAAATAGAAAGAGAATTCAAGATGGAAGAAAAATGACATATTTTTTCTATTCTGGGGCATTTTATATATAAAATATATATATTTTTAAAGTTATATGGTAAACAATAATGTTCATATATATATATATAGAGGACCATGGACTCTATAATCTTCTCTTAGATCTGTCCTTAGCGAGTGTGCATATGATTGTTCAGGAAAAAGGCAAACGGAATAACAAGAAATCAGATGGGTGCGCAATCGATTGGTTCCCTCCATGTTCTTCCCATAACTTTCACTTTCTCTTTCTCTTTCTCTGCCTCCCAAATCTGTTAACCGCAAATTATCCTCTCTTTTTTTTTTTAAATCTTCAGCCTTCTTAAGCTGCTGTTTAAAACCAGACCTTCGAATTTTTTTTAAAAATATGGTTCGGTTCCACGACACTGAAATCAACAGAATCCCAGTGAATAGTAAGTATTTTAATCAAACATGGGGTGCTGTGCTCTGTTAGGAATGCAGTTCAGTATAACTCATTAGTCATGCTTACATCTGAGTCTCCCTTTTAAAATAAATTTTTTTTAAAAAATAAAAAATGGCCATATACATATATTTAGATGCAAACATGTTTATGTCTATTGATCGTTTAATCGTGTCTATATTGAGTGTGCGCTAATTTGGAAATGATCTAATAATTATTATCAGAAAATGCATGACATGAGAACATAACAAATGCTTGGTGCCACACAATCAATCTCTCTAGCACTGATTATGCTGTCGGGAGAGAAATATGGGACAACATAATGGAACATGTAAGATTGGAAACGAGGGATCCTACAGTGACAAACTGGTGGTGGAGGGGATTGAGGTTAGCAAGAGGGACAAAGCTTTGACACAAAATTCTCACAACTCCGCTACTACCTTTTTCCCATATGAAGCACAAACCAATTGTTCAAAGGAATGTCAACCCAGTCAACTAAAACCATCTTGCTGCAAATTACAGAAATACCTCTACTGCCTTGCAATGGCACATAATTTTCTCTGTGATTTTATTTATTTATTTATTTATTTTTAACATCTTTCAGGTGTTCGTGAATATACTGCAGCCCCATGATGGTTTTAAAACCTTGTTGGCGGTTAATTTTACAAAATATTAAAAATGGTTTATTTTCCAAAATATTAAAAATTGTTGCAGTGAAGCAGGTCATGTAGTGGGATAGGTGGTTGCCGGTGGAACCATGTTTTGTGGAATTAGGGTGCCCCTTATGGCATGTTTGATTGGGCGGATTAAAACATGGGATTGAGATTATTAATTCGTGACTCCAATTATTCTATGTTTGTTTTAACATTTTAGTTTAGAATTATTAATCCAATAGATAATTAATCCAACAAATTTGTAAGATTATTAGTAATAGGGTAAGGGTGAGAATATTAATCCAATTGGATAATAAATACCACACTAATTTAATAGAATTATTAATACTTCACTATTAATCTTGTGAATCAAACATGACTTTATGGTACTTTGGGCATTTGTTTCATGAGATTGGACTCCATATTTAATAGATTTGCAAGTCCATCATTTGGCAAACTTGCTAGACATATAATAATGGGTGTTTAGAAAGTAGATTTTTTTATATGGTTTTTTAATTGTAAGATATTATTGAAAAAAAAAAAATTGTGTTTGAAAAGATAATTGAGATTTTTTGTGGTTGGATGTGATATTTGTGAGATAAAAAATAAAATGATTATGAGATTTGATGTGATATTTTGTTTAGATTTGTTTTCTTTGGTTTTGTAACAAATTTGTCTTTTTAGTGAAAAAAAAACCAAAAAACAAACTTCCCAAACACCCCCTATGAATGAAGCCTCTGTGGTTCCGGATGAACAGGCAAGCTGACCAATGTACAAGCAAGCACAACAAGATGGTGATCCAAGCAGAGAATGACAAATTCTCAGAGAAATGGTCAATTACGTGCTAAGAGACAACGCTTTTGCTTTCATTATAATGTTACAATCTGTCTTGAAGATTAGGGAACATTTGAGCAGAACCTCCTGCTTCTACAAAACAACAAAGATGAACACTGAAAAAAGGGTAAAAAGAACAAATTAAGGAAAGAAAATAAATAAATAGCTTCCATAAAATCACTTTGAAAAAAAAGGGGACAAACTAGCTCATTTTCTACAATAAAAAGAGAATGTTCTACAAGGTGCAGACCATGACTGAAAAAAAAGCACATCACAACCCGAGGAAGGCAGATTGCTTTCTTGCATGCTCAGGGATCAACCTCTCCAGCATCTCCATTGGCACTCCCTTCAGTTCTGAAAAACAGCAACAACAAATAAGAATCAGAAGTCGGAGAAAATCTGTTGGAGAAGGCAATGTGAAGTATATTTTTTTTTACCATGAGGCTTAAAGTTGAATAGTGGTGGAAGGAAACGCCCATTTGGCAGGCGGGTGTTTGGGTCACGTAGCTCGTTAAAAAAGGGATGGATCAAAACTTCCAGCTGCAAAGGAGAGAAGACACAAACCATATAATTAAAGTTACATACATCCACTCTGGCATCAGGGGAGGGAGTAACAATTTCCAATACTCAAAAGGATTGTTGAATGTGCCCACTAAAAAGTGAAAGGCAACTCTTCAAAATGACCAAACAACGCAAATGAAAGAGATTAATCATGCCATGGAATAGAGTAAAGGTCATGATAAAAAAAATAATAACATTTTGTCAGGCTAGTTATTAGTTTTGATACTTACAGCTGAGCTTCGAAGATTTGGGGAGTACTGCAGCAGTCTTGAGACGAGGTCCACAGCTTCCGGCGGCATGCGCTTGTGGAATATCTAATAATGGATATAATGTCAATGAACAATTTTATCATATAGACAAGACTCTGTACAGTTATTAACCCATACCTTGTGCCACGGGTGAGCCTTAATTTGTGGAAATTTAAATTCTGTGTAGTTGGGGTTCATGCACTTAATTTCCTCCCTTGTGGGGGTCCCCAAAACCTGCATAAGAATCAAATAAATTGTTTGAACAATGAGAAATGCAGCAGACATCACACTACAATGGAAACAAGCCCAGCAAGACCCAACACTACTACACATACACCCAAAAAACATCAACCCATAATTTTTCCTTTGCTGGACAACAACACACACACACACAAAAACACACACACACACACACACACACACAAAAAAAAAGAAGAAGAAGAAGAAAGAGAGAAATTCTTTAGGTAATTAGCAAGTGGATGAACAGGTTTAGGTAGGGTTTAAAAAATAATCAGAATTGAAACTTCAGCTGCATCCTGAAACAAAAATTCACCACAGAAGTATAATGTGCACCCAAATACAGGTTGTTGAGGCTTATAATCACCTTTATAATTTCCACAAGCTGGTCGACTCCGCTCTCACCAGGAAAGAGAGGCTGAAATCATCAGAACAAATATTCTATCAGCATACGTGAAGATAGGTAGGACATCCACTGTGGTACAAAAAATACAGGAAAGATACCAACCTGTCCGAGCAGTAGTTCTGCCAGCACACAACCAGCAGACCAAACATCTATGGCAGTGGTGTACTCGGTTGCCCCAAATATAAGTTCAGGTGCTCGATAATATCTGGAGCAAATGTAAGATATGTTTGGCTCCCCTCTTACCTGTAACATGCAAAGTAAAATGAGTACAACTAGATGATGCCACAAGGGAAAAAAAAAATCAACTAAGATGTCGACGACAGGAGGCAAAATAACAAACCAAAACTTTTGCACTTCCAAAGTCGCATAATTTCACTTGGTGGGTGTGTGGGTTAACCTGCGAAAGAAGAAGCACTGAGTTTCAGTAATTGTCAAGTTTCTACTACAACTTCACATATTATATTTTTTATCATATAACAAGCTGTATATCCTCTAACTGTAGGCCAGTGAAGTCTTCACCGGAGAGGAAACAAAAAAGGAAGTTTTTCAAATTTAGAAAACCATAGTTTGCAAGAAAATCTACCCAACCTGATAAGGAGGATTCAAAATTTATAATTAAAATAAAAAATAAAAAATAAAAAAATGCAACGAAGCAGTCCCATGTGTTTCCCACATAAATTCCCTCATTTACACCTTTCTTCTTAACACACTCTGCATCAATATTCATCCAACCAAAAGGTTTACACTCCACAACTGATGAGCCCCTCTAATAGAACCACTATCAAGCCCAAGCTAACACGATTCTCACACTGTAGTTGGTTACATCAACCCACCATAAATAGATCTGAAGCATTACCCAAATGACTCCAAATCTATATGCATCACGGATTGGGTTTCTAGATGAATTTCAACACTTTGTTTTAGGATTTGAGCAAAGTGCAGACTCTTGCATTCTAGGGGTGGGCTTGAGCAGGTTGTCAACAATAATACCTGTTAGTGTTGTATCCTTAATAAAAGAATATTTCCAGCTGAAACTCCATCATGGGAAACTTACATCACTTCAAAGAAAAATGGTTTAAATGTCTGTGTCAAAAACCGAAGGATGAGAACAACCAACTATATCACCTCCGATACCTACATACATCGCCCATGTTGCCACCACCAGCAATTCAACATAAACAAAGAGGAGATCACTATCACCTACAACACCTACATATATATACATACAAATATTTGTGTGGGCATACTCGAAACCGTACCAATAGATTTTGGGGTTTGATGTCCCTGTGGCACACTCCAATACCATTGTGAATGTATGCAAGTGCTCTAAAAATCTGGAAGCAAACATAAATAGAATAGGAATAATTAATAAAATTCAGAGACAGCAGTAATCAATAATAATGATTGAGTTGACTATTAAAAGCATATCAAGCAGCCATTAAATTTCAATAATGGGTGTGTGAAGACACAATGAATACACACAAAACTAAAATCACTGGGAAACCAAAACTAAAATCACAATATGAGGCAAGTATAACAAATACCTGGTAAGTGTATAGTTTCACATAAATCATTGGCATCCTTTGATTCATCTTAGTGTAGTGTTTAATCACTCGATGAACAGTCTCAGGGACATACTCCAGTACCAGGTTAAGGTAGAGTTCATCCTTTTCAGTGGTTGAAAAGAAACAGTGTTTTAAAGAAACAACGTTTGGGTGGTCTAGAAGACGCATAGTTTGCAGCTCCCGGTTCTTGTACCTCTTGTCTTGAAGAACCTTTTTTATTGCAACAGTTTCACCAGTCTCTAAGCACTTAGCCTGCACAAACACATTTAAGCAGGACCAAAAGAATTTAAGGATAATCTTCAAATCATAAGCTCTATGTGTTTAAATGTGAATCAACCCCATGACTTTCTTCTACCATCCGCCCACTACAGAAATGGGAATTTGTCTGGTATCCAATAAACACTAACCTGGAAAACTACTCCAAATGATCCATGTCCAACAACACGCTCCGCCATATAGCTAATAGTCTACAATCATGAAAGGATATATGCGTCACAACAACAATTCAAAATTGTAAAATCTAATAGTCCAATATGTATAGAGAGAGAGAGGGTAAAAAATTACCTGCTTTGGCTGGCCATTTCTACCACCAATAGTTGTAACAATGATGTGACCTGTCTCTGTTCCATTACCATCAACCACAGTTGCTTCCATCTCCTATAAAACATTTACTAGCATTATAATAACATAAAAACCACTAAAAAAAGTATACCAAGCGAAAGAGGAGGCTGGGCAAAGTTAAAATAAAGGAATACCATACCTTATCATCCCTGATTTTCATGTCATTCATCTCATCAGGCAGCCTATCAACACCAACAGTATTTCCACTAGGTTCTCTTAATCCAGATGCAGGTACTTCAGTCACTGAAGCCATCTACTCAAAACCAGAGAATGAAACCCCCAGATGAACGTCCTCAACCCAAGTTTAGATGCTGAAATGAAAGACACACACACACACACATATATATATAAGTTGTTTCATTACATAACACTTTTATTATTAACTCAGAAACTACTATCAAAACAGCAATGATTCATACCACTAATTTTGGTGCTCTAATAGAACACTAATGACATGGCAATGAACAAAAAAATAAAAATAAAAACAAACCAAGAGCAAAACATCACATCACCGTGAGTGGAGCCCACTGCCAACTCGTTACAGCTACCTTTAGAGCTCAAAAATTAGAGCTCCAAAACATTTTTCCTAACAAAAATAGCTGACCTTTTAAAAAAATTTGCAGGTTAGAGCAAACAAGGTTACCTCACCCAATGGGTCAAAAAATATACATAAAGAAAAAAGAGGTTAAATGCACCTAAACAGCCAAGAAATATAACTCAGCCAAGAAATATGTAGGGAAAAAAAAAAATTTGAGGTTCCCATTTCTTGAACTGATCTCAACAACACTAGAGTTTATAAACAAGGCACTTGCTCGTAAGATTTATAAGTGACTGCAGTTTTGTTTTGTCTAGTTTTCTTCATTTTTTTCCCCCCAAGGCATAAAAATAAGGTTGTCTAATAATCAGATAAATGTGATCCTCCCAATCTTCGTCAGTATCAGTCATGGCGTTTCTCAAAATATTAAAAGAGAGTCATAATTATAACAATCTACTCTACATATGACATTAATATAAATATTTCTCAAAATAAAGATTTCCGGTAAAAAAATTCCCACAAAGCAAATTCCGAGTAAATTTTACAGCAAAACAAATCACATGGAAAAAAAAAAAGTTCCATGCCTCTAATGCTCTACACTACGGTCCACAAAAATGAAGAAGTAAATGAAGATCCAAATAAAATAAAATAAAATAAAATGATTAACAAAAACAAAACCCTGTGGAAATTTATAACGCAAGGCTGCGAAATTCAGAGGAAAAAAAGCCCTTAGACTGTGTTTGGTCGAAAAATTTAGGAAGGAATTTGGAAAAAGAAAGGATTTTTCCCAAATTCCTCAACCAAATACCGCATTAATTCATTTTTAAAAACGAGAGAGAAACTATATAAAAAAATTCAAACCCTAACTAAAGGGAAAGATGGAGCAGCACAAATGAATGAACCGATTAGGAAGATGAACAAAAAGGAAGCAAGTATTGAATCTATCTATGAGTTGAAAAAAAAAAAAAAAAGGGAACAGATGGAAAAGAAAAAGGAAGGTACCGATCGACTCAGGAAGGAGTTTATACGGGGATGGCACTTAACACAAATAGTTGTGATAATTCATGATCCCAGCCCAGCCAAACATACAATGCCTACTGCGTCGATCGAGATCTCACTATTTTTTTACCAATTTCTTCTTCTCTCTGTAATGTACTACTACTAACAATAATATGTGTTTGTTGTGAAGAGAGAGAAAGCAGATGGAAGATAGATATGGGTTTGGATGGATTTCTTCTTCATTTGCTTTTTGCTTGGTGGTTTGCTTTCCCTTGGGAGCCTGGGAGGGAGGGAGGGAGGGAGGTGTTTGATTTGATTATTACGGTCAAACAACAACCAAAAAACAAACCCAAACATTGATGTGCTTTTTTTAATCTTTTCTTTGCTTTTTCTCTCTGTCTTCGGTCTCATTTTTTTGACCATTCAAACCCCCACCCTTTACTTTCAAATTTTCTCCCTCTACCTTTTCTTTTTCTTTTTCTTTTTTTATATAAAATATTGTTTGAATAATTTTTTACCAACGAACAGTCAAAAACTGTTATTTAATTTTTTTTATTCTTTTAATTCTTTTAAATTAAAAATAAAATTGTATACAGGGCCTAAAACCAATAGAAATCAAATTAGAATTCAATACTCTTAAATAATTTTACTTTTGAAGATTTAAAGAGAGCTCTAATAATATGATAAGAAAAAAAAAATAAATATAAATACAAATACACACATTACATCACTTATTGATCTCACTCCTTACCACACCACTAAAACTTTTTCAATCTTTATTCATTTTTATAATAGAAGGGAGCTACTATTCACCGCGGGCATGCAAGCGCATCTCATCCACACATTTGCGGCCCCCGCCCGTAAGATCCCATATAAACTTGTGGATGATATGTAGGGATTGTTTGGAGATGTATTAAATTAAATAAGTGTATTTATTTTATAATTATATTTATTTAAGTCATATTATTTGTTTTTTTTTATATATTTTTTTATTAAAAGTTAAAAGGTATGTGAAGAAATTATTTGAAATGATCTAAATAACTATATTTATTTAAATAAGTATACTTATTTGGTCATATCATCTCTATATTTTTTCATAAAAAATTAAAAAAGTCCATTAAATAACTTATTTGGTCATATCATCTCTATATTTTTTCATAAAAAATTAAAAAAGTCCATTAAATAAGTAAATCCTAAACAACCCTTAATAAACAAACTTCAAATAACCTCATAGTTACCGTTTGGTAACAATTTTTTTTTATCTAAATAAAAACAAAGAGATAAAATAAGCTAAATAAATTAATAATATAAAATATTACATTTAAATTATAATTATTTTATTTTTTTCTCTCAAAATCATTACATCAAAATTAAAAAAAAAAGTCAAAAAAATGAAACTAATTTAACTAAACTAAATTAGTCATGAAATTTTTTTTAAAAAAAATTAAATTAATTCTTTCCAAACAAAGCGATATTTAGCGCAATGAATTTTTTTTTTTTGGAAAAGGAGGAGAAGACTTAAACAACCGTAACGACGCCGTGCTGGTGGCTGATGATGAGAGAGTCAAATAATCTGCCAGGGAGGGGACCACGGACCGACCATGGACCACGTAGGCGTGACTGCATGTGTCATGCGAGTTGTGTGTATTAAAAATGCACACATTTTTCAATTTTTTTATTCTAACACAACTGTATTCGCATACATTTTTTATAAAATGATATGAAAAATAAAAAATAAAAAGAATGATATGAAAATTTATAATGACTTTTTAATTTTATAATTAAAATATGTTACTCCAAATAAACCTAAAAATGTTTGAAAGGTAGGTGCGTTTGGTAGTTTCAAAAAATTAAATAAATAATTTTATAGAAAGTATGTTATATTTTGTGACATTGGTATCAATTTCTATTATAATCAAACAGTACTGCTGGATAGCTCAAGAGTGAGCTAGCCCAACTGGCTCAAATGTCAAAACAACGTCGTTTTGGTCTTTTTTTTTCCCCTTCTCTTTTCTCTCTGAAACAGAGAGGCGAGAGAAAGATGGAGGAATAGAGAAGAATGAAGGGGAACAGAGAGAGAGAGAGTCGGAGCTCCCTCCATCCACCGACACCACCATCACCGTCGCAAACCCATCGCGACCCTCCTCTGTGTATATACACAGATTTGTGTATACATACATAGTTCTGTGTATAGATCTCTATCTTTCTCTCTCTTTGTTCTCCCTCTCTCTTTTTTTTCTTCTCTCTTCTTCCTCATCTCCTTTTTTTCTCTTTCTTTTGTCTACTTCAGAGAGAAAATAGAAGGGGAATGGAAAGAAAAAAAAGAAAAAAGAGCTCCCTTCACCCACCGACGCTGCTATCATCGTCGCAAACCCCTCCATCCACCGCCGCCGCCATCACCGTGGCGAAGCCATCGCGGGCTCTCCTCTGTGTGTAAATCTCTCTCTCTCTGTTCCCCTTCTCTTCTTTTCTTCTTATCTCTTTTTCTCACTCTCTTTCTTTCCTCGCTCTCTTTTCTTCATCATCTCCTTATTTTCTCCTTCTTCTGTCTGTTTCAGAGAGAAAACAAAAGGGGAAGGGAAAGAAAGAAAGAAAAAAAAAAAAAAGGTGCCTTCGAGCCATTCGAGCCCCAACATTTTTGAGCTAACACGCATTTTCCATAATCAAATCACTAATTATAACTCAATATCACTTGAGTTATAATTACAAAAAAAAATGATTATAATTAAAATAGTTATCACAATAAATTATAATTAAGTCATAATTAATATTATAATAAATCATAATTCTACATATGGCACACTTTTTGTTTTTTTAGTGTGTATCATTGGATTTTCCTAAATTACATGTGTTGGCTATATATTTTGTATAAGCCAATCACAGTTCGACACGTGGCAAGATAAGGGTAATGCGGGAAAACAATTCAAACCTTCGATCGTAATCGTACACGTGGCAGTTAGTATTGGTTTTTATAAGATCTGCGTAGCACTAGATCAGCAAAGAGATGCAAAATGATATGGTTTCAACGGTTACTCGTATTTAAATTTAAAATTAGGAGGGAAGCCTAGCTGCAGATATTGGCATAGTGGAGCTAACTATAAGGCAACATGATCAGCGATCATGGAGGGGCGGTTCGATGGTTAAAAGTGCAATTCGACGGTTTTTAGTGAGAAGTATAACTAGCAGAGAAGGCCCCATAAAGTGCCCCCAGACTCAAATTCGAAAAGCCAGTTTTATTCTACTTTATTTCCTTTCCAGTTTTACATTTCTTGTTCTTTACATTTCTGTACTTCAAATTCCTGCACTGCATTTCGTTCATAGGAGTAGTTTTCAAGTAGCTTGTTGCTGTAAACCTCTACGAGGCTGATTTGGATCTTTGTAAGTCTTTCATTTTGCTTAATGAAAATACTACAATTGTTCTTCATTTAATCATTGTTTGCTTAATTCTCCTAAACAAAGCTACCAGTAAAAGTTCTTTTTATTGAGGCTGAAAGAACTAAAATACAATCATCTGATAATTGGTTGACAATTAATATTATATAAGGACTGATTGATCCTTGCTGGCACGCTCATAATTACAAAAATAACCTTTGAGAGCCAAAAAGCCAACATATATTTTTGGTACGCCCGGTGGGACTAATTGAAATGGCTAGACGTAGGAGACAAGGAAAAAATGAACATTTGGAAGAAGGCGTGGAAGGAGAGGTAGAAATGTCTAATCTAGAGGATAATGTGATAACACATCTTGTGGAAACGCCTATTTTATCAGAACCTATGGTCGAACAGACCAGCACTTCAGAACAAGTACCACATGTTCATAATATTGGACGAGACCAAGGAATTGGACCATCTACTGTTCCATCTACTCAGCCAATGAACCCATGGGGTGGCCTAGTAAATGCTATGAGACAGTAGTTAATGAACACAGTGGAAAGATGGGCAACATCCTTTTTGGATCGAATGAACACTCATCAACCAACTAACGCAAGACATATAGAGGAAAATTCGAATGTCCCTCAGCAAAGATTTGCTAGAGATAAACAGCCTATGCAGAGCAATGGACATACTAATGGTCAAACTAGTAACCAAAACAATAAAAGACCATCACCTCAGTCTTGGTATGAGCCTCTTTCGAGGCCTGTGGCAAATCAAAATGCCTCTTTACTCAACAGTGAAGCCATGCAAATTGGTGGATCTGGTCCAACACAGGAAAATGACATAAGGATGTTTCTAAATCCCATGTTTGAAGCCATACCTGGTACGAGGGGTTCAGTAATCCTTTGTTCGAATTTATACCCGGGGGGTTGGAAGGGTTTCCTGCAATTGGAAGAGACACAACACCTGTTCTAGCACCTTTCGCAAGTCCTTTCGCAGGACAGGCTCAAAGGGGTCACCCATACCCTCAACAACAGCCAGCACTACAAGGACAACCAGTCACAAACATACCACCCTATGGACCAAGAGGATCCCAAACACAAGGCTGTCCACCAAATCCTGTGTTTGTTCCTCCAGTAGTGGTTCAATAGGCACAAAATATGGTCCTTGGGGACCAAATTGCTAATATTGTTAGAGAGATGTGTGGACCAATGGCTCAGGGGGTTCAGACTCCTATGTATAGGAAACCGTACCCAAAATGGGTAAATAGGGTACATGAATACCCAAGAGGTTTCAGGATACCAGACTTTGCCCTTTTTTATGGGAATGGAAACCAGTCAATGGTTGAACATATTGCTAGGTTCGCGACTCAGTGCGGTGAATTTACCAATGACTATATGAAGTTAAGATTACTCCCAAATTCTCTAACTGGGGGAGCCTTTGTATAGTATATTAACCATACACCTGGCTCTATTCAAACTTGGCAACAAATAGAGAAGGCATTTCATACCCAATTCTTCCAAACAGCGCCAGAAGTGTCTATGACAAACTTGGCAAGATTGAGTCAAAGGCCTGATGTGAAGGCTACTCAGTTTATTGCTAGATTCAAAAGAGCACAAAACGAATGTAGGATCATCTTACTAGAGCCTAAATTTGTGAGGCTGGCTCAAAATGGTCTCAAGTTTAGGCTTCGAAAGAAGTTTGACTCAACTGAGTTTAGAGACTTGGTGGAACTAACCTATAAGGTGTCTAGGTATGAGGCATTACTAGAGGAAGAGCAAGATCGAAGTAATGCATCATACAAAATGTATTATATAGATCCTAATTATGAAATTGATGCGGCAGAGATTGTGGGAAAAGAACCTGTGATCTGTGAAACATTAATTCATAAAGACACAGCAATAGACCAGCAGTTCAAAAAGAAAGACCTTCATAGGAAATACTCTTTCGATTTAACAAAGACAGATGACATTT